GGCGAAAGCTGGCCGCGCCAAGCCGTCGAGGCGGCGAAGATCACGTGCCCAGGCGACGCGGTCGTCGCCGGGGGCGGCCAGCAGAAGCGGCGGATTCTGCTCAACGCAGTCGGCCATGCCGATCTGCTCCTGAACATGGGCAACCGCGGGGAGGTCAAAAAGGTGAAGGGGTACTGCGCGCAAGTCCTTGGCGGCGCCCGGGAGGCGCCCTTGCGCCGCAGTGGCGGCGCTGGCATTCTGCCATTCGCGCTGGACCTCGCGCGCGCCGCCTCCGTTGACCTCGCTGTGCCGAAGGGCGCGCGCCCATGAGAGCGATGGAAAAAGAAAAGGAGGAGGGGGAGGAGGAGGAGGAGGAGGAGGAGGAGGAGGAGGAGGAGGGGGGCAAGCTAGGTGCGCTCGCGTCATATCTGACGTCCTACCCCCCCCCCCCCCCACACACACACACGCGCGCGCACCCCTTGCCGTGGCGCTGATTTTCTCTATCCGCGGACGCGTGTCGTGGCGGGCCTGCGGCTCCGCGCGCGCGTGCGTAGTGGGTGGTGGTGCGCGTGCGTGCGTGCATGCGTGCGTGCGTGGTTGTGGTGGTGGTGGTGGTGGTGGCGGTGGTGGTGCTGCTGGTGCTGCTGGTGGTTGTGGTGGTGCTGGTGGTGCTTGTGGTGGTGGTGGTGGTGGTGGCGGTGACGGCGGCGCGGCGCGGTGGCGCGGCGCGGTGGCGGCGGGCGGATGGGCGCGCGAGAAAGAGGCCCGCGCTGGGGCGAGAACGCCATCCTGAACGACGGAGGCCAAACGCCGATCCGAAAATGAGGCCCGCGCTGCAGCGGGAACGCGATTCGGCACGATTCGGGGGCAGAAATGAGGCCCGCGCCTCAGCGAGAACGGCATTTGGGGGGGGGCAAAAACGCAGGCGAAAATCCACCCCCCGGGAATCCTGCGCGTAAGCAAACAGCACGCGGGGGGGGGGGGGGTCGGCCGTTCCCAGCGCGCCATCAGGGGAACAGGGGGAGCAGCATTCATATTGAGTAATTGTGGAGGGGGAGGGGGGTGGGAGGAGGAGGAGGAGGAGGAGGAGGAGGAGGAATAAGCGGAGGAGGTAACGAAAAATTGAGGAGGGGGAGGAGAAGGAGAGGAGGAGGACGAGCAGGACGAGGAGGAGGAAGGGGGGAGGAGGAGGAGGAGGAGGAGAACGACGACGACGACGACGACAGCGGGTTCGGCAGGGCTCGGCAGGGCGGGGTCGCAGAGGCTGCCGCCGGCACCCGTCGCGCCGCCGCCGCCGCCGCCGTCGCCGCCGCCGTCGCCGCCGCCGCTGCCGCCCCAGCTTCCTCAGCTTTGTCAGCTTTCTCCAGCTCCTCCTCCTCCTCTTCCTCCTCCTCTCGCCCTGCTGTCTCCTCCGCCCCCCCTCAAGCTTTCTCCAGTTTTCTCGCCCTCAGGAGGGGGAGGGGGAGGAGGAGGAAGAGGAGGAGGAGGGCGACGACGACGACGTCGACGACGACGAGGGCGAGGGCGAGGACGACAGCGGGCTCGGCAGGGCGAGGCTTTCCAGGTCCCCCAGGTCCTCCTCCAGGTCCTCCCCCAAGCCGACAGGTCCCCCAGGTCCTCCTCCAACTTTTTCGAGGTTGCTTCTCCTCCTCTTCCTCCTCCAGCTTTCTCCAGCTTTCCCCCCCTCCTCCTCCTCCTCTTCCTCCTCCTCCGCCTCCTCCTTTTCTTCGAACTTCCTCGGCTTTCTCCAGCTTCCCCCCTCTCCAGCATTCTCCTCCTCCTCCTCTTCCCCTTCCCCCTCGCCCATCCTACCTCCTCGCCCTCCTCCCTCATCGTCTTCCCTCCTCCCTCCTCCGCCCCCCTCTCTCCGGGTGTCGGTCCTCAATCGATCTTCGATGCTCGATCGCCCCTGGCGATCCTCGGCCCCCGATCGAAACTCGATCCTCGATCCTCGAACGAGCCTGGATCCTCGATCCTCGATCCTCGATCCTCGATCCTCGGTCGAACTCTGATCTTCGATCGGAGCTAGCGAAAGTCAATCCTCGATCTGCGATCCGCGATCCTCGATCGAACCTGGATCCTCGATCGATCAATGATTCTCGATGTTCGATTTAACCTCCTACCTCGAGTGCTCGGCAGTTCTCGATCCAGTATCTTCGACTCTGGATCGTCGATCCTCGATCCAATGTCCACCCTCCGTCCTCGATCTTTGATGTTCGATCCTCAATCGAGCCTCCGCCCTCGATCGATCCTCAATCAAACCTCGATCCTCGAGCGTCGATCCAAAGTCAGTACTTGATCCTCTACCTGTTTTGAACCTCGAACGGCGAGAACCGAGGATCGATGGCCCAGGATCGACGCATCAGAGGCTTCCACGACGCCCCCAAGGGGCGGCCCAACAGCCCACGAGGACCCAGAGACCCCGAAGACGGCTCTTCTTGCTTCTGCTCTTCCATTATTCAACTTTGCTACTTGATGTTTGTCCTGCCTAGTCTTTCTGCTTTTCCAATTTTCCGCTTCTCCACTTTTCTGAATATCCTATGCGCTGTTCCGCTGTATCACTTTTCGATTTTTCTGTTTTCCCGTTCCCTTCGCATTTTGTTCAGTCTTTCCACGTTTCCTCTTTTCTGATATCCTATCAGTTTTTCCGCTTTTCCACTTTTCCACTTGTCCACTTGTCCGTTTCTTCTAAGTTGTTTTCCGCTTTTTTCCGCTCTTCCATTTTTCCACTTTTCTGTTCCCTTCTCCGTTTTTTCCGCTTTTCCACTTTTCCATTTTCCCACTTTTCCATTTCTGGTGCGGGCGTTTTCGCGCTGATCGGACGAGCCCAGGCGCTTTTCCACAGCCCGTGGCCCCCCGAGCCTCGCAGGTCACGGTCGAACAGGATTGCAAGCTTCCCGAGCCGCAGAAGCTGGTCAGGGCGCCGCTGCAAGGCGCCTCGGCGCACCGAGCTCGCCGAGCAGAACGCGATCGTGAACTGCGAGCAGATCGGGGAGGGCGACGCCCTCGAGCTCGACGAGCTCGACCGCGCTGCCCTGCGAGATCGAGGAGCGCGCGGGCGCCTTCGAAACCGCTGCGGCGGTCGAGCCCGCGGCGGCCGTCGCCCGCGCACGAGAGAGCCAGGGCGGGGGCGAGCTCGCCGCCCAGCGAGGGAGCCGAGAAGACCGAGCACTTGCTGATGGCCGTGCGCTCCGAGGCCCCCGCGCGCTGCGCCTACCTCGAGGCGCCCGAGCACGGGGCGGTCGCGGCCGACGAGCACCGCGACGCTTGCGAGCGGCCGTCCGAGAACAGGCCGCCGCGAGGGCCCTCCGCAAGCTCGGTGCCATCGGCCCTGGCGAGGAATGCCTTGCGAGCAGCGACAAGACGCCCCGTGCGGATGTCTGGGCCTGCGGGCTCTGGGAGACGACGCGGGTCGGGCGCGCGCCCAGCGCGAGATCCGAGGCGAGGGCCGCCAACCGCCCGCCAGCGTCAGCTGGGCGCGCGCTCGAGGCAGTGTTTGGATCTAGAAGCTGCAGGGCGCGAGCGACGACCAGTCTGCCAAGGCCAAAGCCAAGGCCGAGGCCAGGAACGAGGGCGAGGCCCGGCTGCCGAAGGGCCTGACCGCGCTAGAGCCCATGCGCGCGACCTCCGACCACGCCCAAGCCGCCGCGCAGGCGTGCGCAAAGTGCTTGCCCTGCAAGGGCGGCGCCAAGGGGCGCCGGGCCTGCGAGGGCGATTGGTTGAGGCGGTTCGCAGGCGAGGTGTCCAGGTGAGTAGGTCCGAGGACCTCCAGGGCGTAGGCTCGTTTAAGATACAAGATCTCGAGGCGCCTGCGCTACAGAGCGAGAGGGCGCCCAGGATCATCGTCGTCGCCGTCGCCATCGCCGGCGTCATCCTAACCAGCGTCATCCTCAACATCATCACCATCATGCCAGCATTACCATCACGATCGTCGTCGTCCTCACTGCCGTGATCATCGACGCCATTCTCATCATCATCATCATCATCATCATCATCATCATCATCGCCATCATCATCATCATCATCATCGTCGTCAACGTGGCGCTGCGATGTCCGGGAACACTTCATTGCCCCGCCTGGGCCCCGAACTTCCTGATCTCCGGGGGTTTTGTATCAGGGGCGCAGGGCTGCGTTATTGCAACCCCCTTGCCAGGAGGCGCTGCGCGAGGCCCCCCCCCCCAAAAACCTCCGAAAAGGCATGCGGCGGGGCTCGGATCGGCAGGCTGCGCGCCGCGCGAACGCGGCGGCGGTCCCAGCGCGGGCGTGTTCAGGGCTGTTGAAGTGCGCCCGTCGCCTGGTACCGACCCACCTCCAACGCTCCGCGCGGCCGAAGCGGCCGCGACCGTTCAACCCAGACCCCCGCTGCTCACGAAAAAATCATGACGGGGAGTTGTTCGGTATGTTCGGCTTTTTGGGGCCGTCACCAGTCTTCAGGGCCGCCCAAAAACGATTCGGGATGAAACCCGGCCCAGGAGAATGGGTCCAGACCGTTCGGGGTCGACGTCATGAAACAATCATGACGTCGGGGGTCTGGGAATGGCGAACAGGCCACGCGGTGTCGGAAACCAGCGCGGGCATCATCGCGACGCTTAGAACGCGGACTTCCGACGCCTTGATTTTGCATAGCGTGGCCCTCAAGAGCTCTGGGCCGCTTCCCCGCGGACTTGAGGTGTCCGGCGAGGGCCTCCAGACGCCGAAAACGACGAAACACATGAGTATTTCCGCAATTCGTTGGAGGTTTTACGGGGATCGAAAGCAGTTCCCCCGAACAGCCAAACACAACGAAACACTGGATTGTGTTTTCACTAGGTTGGAGGTTTCCTGGGGGTCGAAAACATTTTTCCGTACAAAAAAACAACATCCGGCCCGAACCATCTGTTCTGTTGGCGGGAACGCCCCGCCTTGGCGTCGCCACGACGTGTGTATTTTTTCTCCGTAAAAAACACTCGATTTTGGGTCATCTTGCGAAGAAATCCACGCACGAAACCGAAACGTGCACGAGGAATGGACGTCCGAGCGATGGCGAGGCGTGGCGCGCGCGGCTTGCGAGCTTTTGCCAATAGGCCCCGGCGGCCCCTCCCCGAGCGAGGGTGAGGCCCGGCGGATGTTGCCTGCGGCACCTCGCCCGCGGGTTCCGCACGCAATCGTCGGTGGAGCTGGCGGCGGCGGGCGGCGCCGCGCGGGCGCAGAAACGTGCGGTCCCGCCGCTGCTCGGGGCGCAGGTCCTGTACAGTCGGACCGAGGTATAAGATCGAAGTCGGTTCGGGGAGGGTACCCTGATGTTGTTCGTGTTCGTTGGGTTTGTGTGCACCCTGTGGAGGGTACCCTTCAATGTTTTGTGCGTTTTGGCTGGCGGAGGGTCTCATGTGTTTACAAGGTTTCTTCTGGCCTAGGTCCGACTGTAACGGTAGGGGGGGCTGGACCCCCTCCGTCCACGTATTGGTGCTCGCACCGCATCCTATGGCGATCGGATCGCACCTTCGCACCCCGCCCAACCGATGCCGTTACCCGCCCCCCCCCAGGGATAGCGACCGTTACCAGAAATGGTAAGAAGATAATATCAACTACATCACGGCGGCAAGTTTTGGGTCATTTTCAGCTTTTGGGGGCCCTCGTCGGGCCCCAGGACCGTCAAGAAACGACTCGGGCTGAAAACTCAGCCCCAGGGAATGCGTCGAGACCTCTGGTTGTCGACGTTGTAAAGACATCATGACGTCGGAGGTCTGGGTTCTCGTCGTCGTCCTTGGCCTTGGCGCAGGTCCGTGTGTGGAGGTTCGGGGCCCTTCAGCATGCTTTCCGCCTTCTGGGCCACTGTCAGGGTCCTCGCCGCCGCGGCCGGACTCTTCTCAGAGTTCCTGGTCGGGAAGTAGGCGTCCCGAAACAGGCACAGGGGCCGGTTGCTGGCCCAAGGGTCATCGTTTGCCGTCAGGCCCAGGAGGGTCGGCCAATCCCCTCTGGTTGACCTTTTGGTATCGCTCGGGCGTGTGTGTTTGTTCCGGGGAGGACCCTCGGGGAGCATCCTGGATCATCTCACCCAAACAGAACGCACGAAACCGACAAATGCACGGAACACAAACGTTCGAGCGATGGCAGCCCTTCTACTTTCCTTTCGCCGGCCTGGGTGTGTGAGCCACTGCGTAGCCGGGTCAGGTTCGCCACACGGCCCTGGCTGGCCTGGGTTGGCGCTGACCCCGGGCAGCCCGTCGCCGTGGTCGTCAGCTTCGTCGGTCCGCGCCTCCAGTTCGCCCATGTGATGCAGGGGGCTAGAGTATAGATGGGGCCAGAGGATCGCAATCCACCAGCGATGCGGGGCGATTCAGAATCCGACTGCCTCGCGTCGCCGACGCATCGGCGATGCGGTACTATCTTCCGACCACATCTCTTCTGACCTTATTTGGGCGGGTTGCATTCATCGTCGTCGTTCGAGGTTGGGAGATCTGCAACGCGAGCCTCAGATGGGGTTGTCTCCAGGGTTCTCGTACGATGAACAAATCACAACATGATCTTACCTGACGGGTCCTCACCGAGGGTCGCGGGGGATCCAGGCGGATCATTCCAGCGCGCATTCCATGTGTGCCAGCCCACAGATGGTGCATCCCGGAGCTAGACATGGTGTATCCCGAGATCATACCCGGTGCATTGGGTGCGTGCCAGCTCGAGGCTGGTGCCCCAGGGTGCCCGACACGCGGATGGCGCCCTCTTTCGGCGGAGGGCCCGTTGAGACAGCGGTGGCCCTGCTGCCCGGCCCAAATCCGCTCAACATCGGTCGGGGTTCAAGGGATGGGGGTCAATGCAAACGGGGGTCAGTCAGAGCGCAGGATCTTGCAGGATCCTGCAGGACAAGGGCTGCACTGACCCGTGTCTGGGTACAAGATCCTGCAGACTCCTGCAGCATGTTGCAGGGTCCTGCAAGGCCTGACTGACCCGGGTCTGGATTGACCCGGGTCAGTGGGTCTCCGAATCGGATCTTTGGATCCAGGTGGATGGTTGGCATTCTCCCAGGCAGCAGCTCGAGTGAGCTGGAGGGCCGTGCGGAGGCTGAGGTGCAGATGGTGCCGGATGAGCAGCTCTATCCGCACAGAGGCTGGAAGGGGGGGCCCCAGAACCTGACCGAAGAGGAGACCCGCGTGGTGCACAGTCGGATCGCACGGTGCTATGACCCCAGGATAGACGGAGATTATTCGAAAGTCTCATACAAGGCGGAGCTTGACGCTTACATGAAATTTCAGGTTAAGCCCGGATTGGACAAGGTCTCGCGTGTCATTAGTTACGAAATGCCGCACGTCTGGGGCAAGCACGCTTTGACAGGCTTCATGGCTCATCACTGGATCTCAGCCATCATCCCGGATATTGAGAAGGCGCCGTCGTCTCAGTGCATAGAATTCGACTACAGTTCGGCGCTCAACACAACGCACGACCCGAGCGGTTGCTTCTTCTTTCGACGATCTTTCGAGCCCACGCAGAAGCTGGTGAAGTGCGTGGAGGGCGCTCTCGAGAGCAGTAGAAGCTGGAAAGGTCGGAGAGCCATAATGGGTGCCTGGGGAGAGGTTCTGAACAAGGCAGAATTCACATTCTCGGTATTCCGAAGGTCGTCTGGAAAGTCGACGGGCGTGCCGTCGAGTCTGTCGTCCTTACACGCCAAGTGGAACAGCGATGGGAACGTTGTCCCAGAGCGCTTCAACGAGACCAAGGGCTGTGGACGCACGTTTTACAGCCCCACCTGTGACACCGGGACAACGCTCAGAGAGTTGCAGCCGTGTGGAGAAGGGGAACGCGAGGATGAGAAGACCGTGCTGGAGTGCGAGAGCCGCTCGGCTGGCAACGACTCGTCCATCGCGGAGCTTATCGTCGACCGGGATGCGCGGGGAGCAAAACGGGTGCATCGACCCAACCCCCTTGGCACAGAGTGAAAGGAGGTGAAGAGGCCCTTGGAGCGGGTTGCATAGGCGGGACGCTGGAGAACAGTGGAAACCCATGCCAAGAAACACCCTGCTTGCCTCCAGGGTGCCCTCGGTTTCTTGGGTTTCGATGGTTTTGCTATGGGAAGCGTGACGCTCTCACACTAAACATCAGTGGACAGGTTTCTTGTGGTCGAGCTCCTACTGTAGCGGGTCTGGCGCAGGTGGGTGACCGCTGGGAGGTGCCGTAGATCCTTAAGCCTTAACAGCGGGCTGTCGCGTGAAGTCTAGTGCGCACGTATTCCGGGCGGCGCGAATCATTGCACTGCAAACATCCTATCGCATGCGACAGACAAGCTACACAACCGCACCCACGCGCAACTGTTATTGCATCTGGCGCGCAAACTACTGCGTCCCCGCGCCAATTATTCCAGGTGCGGTTGCACCTTTCCCCGCGGGTTCGTCTCCGTCAAACCCGCTACGTCGGCTTAGCACCCATATCCGCGGCCTCGCGGACCAGGGCCCCTGCGCTGCGACCCAATGGATTGTGGACGTTTTTTGCGCGGATGCCCCGTGTTGAAAGTATCCATTCGACAAGGTATGCACGGGAACGCGCTTCTGGAATCCAGACTGCGATATTGATATGTTCCCCGCCAGTGAGGGGCCTTTGGAGCGCGATAGCCCGCCCTGGCCACGGCAAGTCTACCACTTAACTTCGCGCCACATTCTGCGCCTGCCCATTTGCGCGTGCAGATGCCGTCGAATGGTGCCAGGGTCGACAGCTCGATGGGAGGAAGGAGCAGACCTGCCTACAGTCAGCGGAATTTTGTTGCTTGTGAGACCTCAACGGGAACGTCGATTCAGGCAAGTGGATGAGCGACGGGCTCCATCTCCGAGTCATTCTCGAGGACTGTGCCGCTCCGCTGGCCCCCAGAAGAGGACAGTGGCTCACAGGCGTCCCGCCGTGCTGCGCGGGGCGCCTGGGGCCAGGGGAGCGAGAGCACCGAGGCGTCACAGGCCCCGCCGGGACCTCCCCGTAGTAGGCCTTCACGAGACTGGCGGCAGGATGGTCTTGGACCTCGGGGGCCCCAGTCTCGGCTCAGGGGTCGTGCGCCCGATCTCTCAGATAGAGAAGACAGGCACAAGCTATCGTCGATGCCCAGGAGGCACTGCGGGAACACGCGGGACCTGGGGGGGAAGGCGAACATCGAACAAGGATGGAAGACATGGGGATGCTGGGATTTGTGTCTACTTCTCTGCGTGTCCCTGGGCCCCTCAAATTTCGTGTGTGCGTATGTGTGTGTGTGGTCTCCCCCTTCCTGCATGCGGACAGTTCGAGATACAGTGCCATGGTCTCGCCTGGACGCGCGAGCGCATTGCCTCTGCCGCGCTGCGATGTAAAAGTGTGTGCGTGGTCGACGGCGTCGCCGGGCCGCTCCTGCACTTGTATGGCGGTGGCGTCTCGGCACGAACGACATGGGTAGGGAAAGAACGGGTACGATGCCCAACAGCAGTTTCTGTTCATTCTGAGCAGGACTTGGCATGTTTCTGTCCGCGCCGCAAAGGAAGTTGTCCATTTGTGACCGAAGGCCGCCTGCCCCGCAGAGGCCGCTGTCGGTGTTGGACAAGACTTGTTGTTGGACACCGTACCCATTTCCCCTTACCCAGTTCGGTCGTCCAAAGCGTCCGCACCTCGCTGCATACCGCCACTGTCTGGCCCGTTTTTGTTGTCACGCGTCCGCCTTGTCTCGACCATCTCCACCAGCAGAGGCTCGGTGGAAGTAATTCTAGACGCTTCGCGTATCCCCACCAGCTCGTCCAGAAATGAGCCCCAGGGGAGTGGAGGTGATGAGGGAAGCGGGGGAGCATGCAGAAGAACAAAGAGCGGGTTGAGCCGCCATACGCCCCAAGAGGGGGAGGATGTAGGAGGAGTCGTCGTCGTCGGAGTAGGAGGAGGAAGACGAGGAGCAGGAGGAGGAGCAGGAGGAGGAGGGAGGAGGAGGAGGAGGAGGAGGAGGAGGAAGATGAGGAGGAGGAGATGGAGGAGGGCGAGGACGAGGAGGACGAGAAGGAGGAGGAGGAGGAGGAGAAGGAGGAGGCGGAGGAGGGGGAGGGGGAGGAGGGAGGAGGGAGAAAAAGAGGAGGAGGAGGAGGACAATGGCGAGCTTGGGGGCCTCTTGGGCCGTCTTTGGGGCCTCTTGGCGGTCCCGGAGGCCTCTTGCGTATCTCGGGGAGCTTCTTGTGGCCTTTTGGGAGTCTCTTGGAGGCCTCTTGGAGGCCTCTTGGGGGCCTCTTGGGGCCTCTTGGGGCGCTCTTGGGGCGCTCTTGGGAGCTTTCGGGGCGCTCTTGGGGCCATCTTGGAGGAGATCTATCAAAGAAGGGGGGGTTGCTTATTAGCGTTGCCCCTCTAGAGTGCCTCGAATCGCCTCTTGGGCCTTCCTAGAGGCCAAATTCCGTCCAAAACCTAAAGAAAATCAATGTTTTTTGCTTTCTCGCCTTTTCGCTCTTGGAGCCGTCTTGGGCCATCTTGGGAGCATATTTAGGCCTCTTGGGGATCTCTTGGGAGCCTCTTGGGGGCATCTTGGGGGCCTCTTGGGGCCTCTTGGGGCCTTCTTGGGTTGCTCTTGGGGCGCTCTTGGGGCAATCTTGGAGCGCTCCTGGGCGCTCTTGGGGCCGTCTTGGAGCTCTCTTGGGCTTCTCTTGGTGCCTTCTTGGGCCATCTTGGAGCCATCTTCAGGCCTCGGATGGCCATCGGAAGCGAAAAAGCGAGAAAGCCAAAAACGTTGATTTGCAGAGTTTTGGATGGATTTTGGCATCTTGGGAGTCTCTTGGGATCATCCTGGAAGCCTCTGGGGCGCTTCTTGGAGCCTCTTGGGGCCCCTCTTGGGGCGAGCGGGGGAGCATGCAGAAGAACAAAGGGCGGGGTGAGCCGCCATATCCCCCAAGAGGGGGAGGATGTAGGAGGAGCCGTCGTCGTCGGAGTAGGAGGAGGAAGAGGAGGAGTAGGAGGAGGAGCGCGAGGAGGAGCAAGCGGAGGAGGAGAAGGAGGATAAGGAGGAGGATATGGAGGACTGCGAGGACGAGGAGGACGAGAAGGAGGAAAAGGAAAAGGAAGGAGGAGGAGGAGGAGGAGGAGGAGGAGGAGGGGGAGGGGGAGGAGGGAGGAGGAAGAAAAAGAGGAGGAGGAGGAGGACAATGGCGAGCTTGGGGGCCTCTTGGGCCGTCTTTGGGGCCTCTTGGCGGTCCCGGTGGCCTCTTGCGTATCTCGGGGAGCCTCTTGTGGCCTCTTGGGGGTTTCTTGGAGGCATCTTGGAGGCCTCTTGGGGGCCTCTTGGGGCCTCTTGGGGCCCTCTTGGGGCGCTCTTGGGGCGCTCTTGGGAGCCTTCGAGGCGCTCTTGGGGCTATCTTAGAGGAGATCTATCAAAGAAGGGGGGGTCCCCAATTAGCGCTGCCCCTCTAAAGTGCCTCGAATCGCTTCTTGGGCCCCCCAAGAGGCCAAAATCTTTCCAAAACCTAAGGAAAATCAATGTTTTTTGCTTTCTCGCCTTTTCGCTCTTGGAGCCGTCTTTGGAGCCTCTTGGGCCTCTTGGGGGTCTCTTGGGAGCCTTGTGGAGGCCTCTTGGGCGCCTCTTGGGGCCTCTTGGAGCGCTCTTGGGGCGCTCTTGGGGCGCTCTTGGGAGCCTTCGGGGCGCTCTTGGGGCCATCTTGGAGGAGATCGATCAAAGAAGAGGGGGTCCCCAATTAGCCCCGCCCCTCTAGAGTGCCTCGAGTCGCCTCTTGGGCCCCCCCCCAAGAAGCCAAAACCCGTCCAAAACCTACAGAAAATCATTGTTTTTTGCTTTCTCGCCTTTTCGCTCTTGGAGCCGTCTTGGGCCATATTGGATTCTCTTGGGGCCTCTTGGGAGTCTCTTGGGAGCCTCTTGGAGGCATCTTGGGCGCCTCTTGGGGCCCTCTTGGGGCGCTCTTGGGGCGCTCTTGGGGCGCTCTTGGGAGCCTTCGGGGCGCTCTTGGGGCCATGTTGGGAATATATATCAAAGAAGGGGGGAGCCTCAATTAGCCTCGCCCCTCTAGAGTGCCTCGGATCGCCTCTTGGGCCCCCCCAAGAGGCCAAAATCCTTCCAAAACCTAAGGAAAATCAATGTTTTGTGCTTTCTCGCCTTTTCGCTCTTGGAGCAGTCTTGGGCCATCTTGGGCGTCCCAACGCGTCGCGGAACGCCCCGTCCAGGTCAGTGGGGAGGGGTAAGGGGAGGGGTAAACCCCTCCCCGAAGGGAAAGAAGGGGGGTTGGCAGAGGAAACGCTCTAGACCACCTACGCCCTAAAGGGCTGGTGGGATTTAATTATCGGTGCGATCGAAATGGGCACGGAAAGAATGGGTACGAAGCCCATCAGCTGTTTTGATCCATGTCGGCGGCGAGCAAAGGGGGAAAGTGAACAGGAAAAGGTTTTCTTTGAAGGTGGTGGGGCTTCTCAGAAGCCCTCGTGCCTTCTGAGAGGTATTATGTGTCTTCGGGGAAGTCCTAGTCAACTTTTCAGGAGGCCTGGGGACTTTCGAGCCTTCTGAGAAGGCCCGCCCCTTCTCACTTCCCCCCTGGGCTCGCCGCCGACATGGGTACGAAGCCCAACAGCGGTTCTTGTCCATGTTGAACCAGATTCGCTGTCGGCGTTGCCGCGGATGTTGTACAACACAGACAATGTTGGTATAGGACACGATTTGTTGTGGGGCATCGTGCCCATGTTTTCCTACCCATTTCGGGTGTCCAAAATCTAGGCGTGCAATCGCTGCGTACATTTGTAGGCCGAGTTGAGTTTACGAACCCCGTGCGGGAGGCGACTCCCTCCCCACGCTCAGGACGCCAGAGCCGCGGAGCAAAACAAACAAACCCACGAGCCAACCAGAACGGTCCACGGATGCCCCAACCGTGTTCCCGCGAGGCTCCCCCGAGGGCAGGTGTTGTGT